TTAGCTTTTATCACAAGCTATCGTATTAGTTATCTTATTTATATTTAACTATCTTAGTTAAAGTTTACGAATATCTTAATTTTGTACTCAATTGTTTTATTTTGTTATAATAATGTATCCCGTCAAGTATCAAATACTCCGTTCAACTCACTTGTTCCATATTAAAATCATCCATAGGTTCGATATAAAGACACTCGTGTCCTGAAACGGCATTCAAAGAACTAACTAGTAACACAGATAAAAGACATAATCCATTCAGATTCATTGTATGACGGTGTAAATAAACACGCATATTGAGTACTATTAAAATAAAACAATAACATACAATTATTATTATATAATATTTATAATATTTTATTACTTGGTAGAAAATTATTTATTTATTATTAACAATTGTAGGCCTATTTTAGTATTTTAAAATTTTCCCATATCTGATTGAAGCATACTTACAACTTTTGAAATTCGGTAGTACAATGTACTTAAACGATTCGATCGGTTTAACAGACTGTTTTGAAGTGACTTACTTGATTCTCGTCTCTGGGCTTATAGGTAGACCAAAATACCGAAAAGTAAATTTTTCTGGGTGCCTATGTTACACAGCCGGTTTTTCAACACGAGTGTTACTTATTTACAATACTTTTGACGTAGAGACAATATATTGTTTTGGCCTATTTTTTTTTACCATGACAATTTATCGATAAAAATTGAACAACATAAATTTATATTTTATAGGGATCATAAGGGGTTTAATTTGTTTTAGCTTCGACGTGGAGCAGCTTTTTTTGTGTCTGTATACAATGTAATTTTTTTAATACTGGACCAATTCCCTAAAAACAAAAAGGTCCCACCTACTCATAAAAGCTACAACAACAACAGCTCTCTCTTATAAATAATTTAATTTACATATTTTTTTTAATCGCTGACACGTGTGTATGGTATTACTTTCTAAAACAAATATTATACACAAATCGAAAAACTTGTGCGTACAATAAGAGACAATGACTACTTGTAAGCCGAGGGGGCTTGGATTGTTTTATTAAAGCCCCCTCTGTAGCTGCACTCATGTGGCTCTTACTAAAAACATGTTTACATTCGATACACTTGAAGACCACAGAAAAAAGATGGCAATCTTTATTTTCTGTTGATACTTCTTTGCGTGAACCGAATATCTAAAGATACTTTATTACTGATAACAAGACCCGTCCTCGCCATATGCCCATTCATAATTCAATATTAATAAGGCATAGCCTAAATTCCTAATCTCTTTTCACTATATTTTTACATAGACTCAAACACCGTTGTTTAAAAACGTAACTGACCAAATTTGTATCTGAACATCAGTCAAAATAAAAATTGTTTTCCTGCCAATCGAATTCGGTTATTTAGATTTTTTTCACTTAGCAACGGTGCTTATTACACGAGTAAAATATTGTGTCAAACACTATTGTCCAGTCAAAATATTCAATCGATTTTTTCTTCAACTCAAAAACTAAACGAAAAAGAAATCATTCCCTATTGTTAATCTACTAACTGTTTCTACAGACTCAAACACCTTTGTTAAAAAATGTAATTTTGACTAAATTTTAGTCTGAACATCTATTAAACACTTTCATTTTTTGCCAATCGAATTCCGTGATCATGAATATGCGCTTTGGCGGTACGTTAATATATCAAAAATCTTGTTTAAATTTATCCTTTCCCAACTACCATTCTTGAAATGCACTGCATGCATTTATAGTGCTTAAACGAGTTCACTGTTGATTCGTTCACATATAGCAACCTAGAATGTTAACTACAGTTAAAGTGTAACTTTCCTTTTTTTTTTTTTTTACTCTTACTTAATAAAACCATTACATCTTAAGCTAAAAAGTGAAATAAAGAAAGAGATGCCGTTCCATCTGGATGAACGGGTATATGGTACCTTTTAGTTTTGTCATCATTTATCGGCAGGGCTATGATTGAAGAATATTCCATTTGACTGTTGACTCTTTTTGAAAATGTATATAGCCCCATAATGTTAAACTATATAATTAAGTTTGGGTTTTTCTCGGAATTCGAAAAAAAGGTGTAGACAACTGTCCCACGATCTATAACGAATTAAGCAAAAATTATGTTTAACATTTCTGTTACATAATATGTAGGCGTGCAGCGTTAGTTCCAAACCCTAGATTTTTTTATTAGGCAAATCAAAATTCTAAATATCAATACTCTCTCCCAGTCAGGATTCCCAGAAGAAGAAAAAAAACAAAACAAATCCCTTGTAGATTAGTAACGTATTAAAAATGTGTAGTCTATCATTTAAATTCTACATAATGTACAGAATTTAAATCTTAATATTTGGGTGCAAAAATTGTAAGTCTGTGCGAGAATATTGTCAACGTTTAACTTATTACAACTTTCGAATTTAAATATATCAAGTTATAATGACAGTGCCATACAAGTGCAAAATACAAATTAAATTTGAGAGCAACAATTATATAATGGAAATTCTAAAAATACAATATTATTTGGCAACACATCGAACCAAATGTTTTTTTTTTCCCATAAATTTTTCATAAAAAATCAAATTTATTCTTGAACATCTTTTACCTCCTCGACTCCGGTGGTTTTTTTTTTTGAATTTAAACAAAATATGTAAGTTATAAACCAGTATTTTTTTTAAATTTAAATTTTATGTTACTATTTAAGACTGTTTTTAATTGCACCCAGTATTTTTGGGATGGGGGAGAGTCAGGGGTAAATTTATTATTATTTAATAGTTATATAGTTATATAGTACTCGTATAAATAGTCCTTATCCAAAATTTTAAGATCCTAAGCCCAAAATTATTTTCACTTCACATTATAAAACGTTGTCCATTGTGGTACACTTATGTATATACAAAAAAAATGATCCGCTTTGTGTTTTGAAATCATAACCAAATGAAATTGCTTTTCGTCGTTTTGGTCGACGTGTACAAAGACAAGACCCAAGGAATTCACTTTATAACTTCAGTTTGTCAATCTGATCGAATCGCTTAAGTAAACTGTACTGTCAAATTTCAAAACTTGTAAGTATGTTTTTAATCGGGTATGGAAAATTAAGTTATACAAAATTGTACGTTCCTAAAATCCTAAAAATGTTAAAATCTGAATTTTACAATTTTTCGTGATTTCCCATAGTAAAAAAAAAATTAATTATTAAAACTTGAATTATATTTACAGTATTTACACGCCTCGTGGTTACTCCCATTTGGATATCTTGACTGGTTCGCCAACGTTTCGAAGCACTTGCATGTTCCATCTTCAGGGCTCTGGTTCGACGTTGCCCATACCGCGTCCTCCCGTAGACTCTTCTATGAAAAGTCACATAAATTATTAAAGAAATCACTAACCTTTATTAAGAAAAAAAATAATCGTTTGGGTCGACGTTAAAGTAATGATTATTATTATAGTTTATTTATCGTCCAGGCGATTCTGATTTTTCCGTTGCTAAGCAAGTCTTATCAATCGTTATTAAGCGCAATATCATTGTACAACATTTTGAAACTTAAATTGAAAATAAAATTTTACAATTATTGGAGTATTTAAATATTGAAAACCTAAAAAAACACTTTCCCTAGCCAACATCAATGAATTCAGTCAAATTTTGTACGTTGCTTAGGATGAAAAAACAATTGCAATTAAGTATTTTTCGTTTTTTTTTTGTATACTTAAGTTTGTTATTTTTTTACAAATTTAGACAATATTCAAAATTGTTGTTTCTTTAATTTTTCTACAAAGTTCTAACAACTTGCAAAACTTAACGTGTATTCAATTTAATTAAATGTTTGAGTTAAGAATAATTTGCCGAACATAATATAACCAGTTTTGGATAATTTCTTTTAAAAATGATTTAAGTTTCAAATTTAAGACGGGATTTTGAGTGTGGTAGAGCAAGGGGCACAGATAACCAAGTAATTGTGACGTGCAGCACATGTGTAAGTTTAAAGTTTAATACTTAACAGTAGTTTTTCTTCTGAAAAATACATTTTTTGTGCATGTAATTGTTGTATTTTCATTGTAGCTTGACGGTTTTGCTAAAACAAGCAGATGTTTTTTTTTTTAATTTTCGGTAAAAATTTATAAAGCTTATTTTATTTATTAGATATACATACTTTGACGTTTAACGGTGATGGAGAAATTTAATTTATATCAAACTATGGTTTCTGAGAAATCGTTGAATACAATTTTTATTTTTTTTACCGCAAAAATGTTTTTTTTAACAACGATAACTACATAGTTGTGGTCTGTTTAACTATAAACGCTAGAATTATTAGTAAATAATTATCAACAATAAGGATAAAGGATGTACTCTAATGCATGACTAATACTAATTAGCACTTACAGCTTGAATAGGAGACAAGAATTTGTGTAATTATTATGGACACACAATTATTTTTTAATAGTTTCATCAAATGTTTAAAATCTAAAACTTAAATTCTAAAATCTTAATTGTTCGCTGTATCGCAAAACGATCGTTGAAGTTCTTATTATTTTATAAGGTTGTTGAGGTGTATCGAGAAAGGCAAAATCAGAAACACAATTCATATTATGTTCTAACGACATTTAGTCAATCTCTTTTGCACCCCATGCATAATATTTTGAATATGATTATTATTATTTAAATATTTTTGTCGGGTCAATTTTTTTTAATGTACAACTACTTTAAGCGGTCTTGTATCGCTCTAGTCACACCAGAGATGAAGTTTTTGTACATTTTTTTTTACAGAATTACATTATCATTGTTTATGAACCGACAAAAGCCAATTCGTCAAGTGTTCCGAAACACTGGCGGCAAACAAGTCAAACTGTTCAAGTGGGAGAAACCCCAAAAAAGTAGAAATAAAGTAAATATTAAACAATTCGGTTTGAATCAACACACAAGCAAATAATGTCTCTATAATCTTGAACAAAACTGTTTATTGAGAAATCCGTCAAATTTACTGACAGCTCGGATATTAGTGCAGTATAATACAAATATTATTATTTAAATAAAACAACATATAATTTCAAAAGAGTTATCAAATTCGGTTCCTGGTATAAAATTGTATCATAACTGTTCTTTCAGTAGTTGCACTGTATGATAAACGGCAGTGTTGCTTACTTGCCACCATACGCCTTCAATTTTTCTGTACGTTTTGTAACCCAATGGTGTATGGTCATCATTCAGGATACAAGTACTATGCGGGCGAGCCTGAACAACTTTGATGTACAACGTTGGGAATTTTGTACTCAACGACAACGCTATTAAATTACACATCCTTATTGGATAGTCTTCCTCTATAGATCTGTCTAAAAAATGTTTTATATTTGCCAAATTTCGCTTACTTATAATTTTTTGAAACAGAAATATTTATATCTTACATTACACTTACCTGTTGCACGGACGATTTTATGTTGTACAGAATCTGTGGGTAAAATTCTTCTCATTTCAATAAGATTGGTCATATTGTCAATATCTGCAAAATTAATAAGCAGCCGCGTTGATAACAAATAATAAAAAATAATTGTAATAATTTTATTCGTGTTTAAATTCAAATATTTACCCAACGCCGGGCTCATCAATTTTTTCAAAGCTATTCGAGTAACACGTCTTCTCTCTTCTCCAAGTTGTGTCAAATTCAAGTCTCCAAAATCTGCAAACACTATTAAACGACCGTGTTGATAACTAATAATAAACATGTGAATGTAAATTATTAGTCGCTCGTGGTATGTAATTTAATTTCCTTTTTTAATTTAATTTTACATTGTTTTATGGGGAAATGCACCCTATCGTCGGCCCATTTAGCAATGGGTGCAAACTCCAAAATAGTAAATTTCACACTCAAAGTAAAATATATTACACATAAAGCGAATTTCATCCGAAAACCATCCAAAATGTCTACTATTACTACTATCGAATAAATGGTTACCTTCGTTTGTCGTAGCCCACACAATACCTGTAACACAAATTATATCAATATAGAATAATACAGTAAAAAAAATCCGTTTAGCTTTATGACTTTGAGTATAAATCAAATCTTAATAGTTTTTCTTTAAAACAAAACAATCATCAATTTCGGAAATTGTTCGCTTAAAAATTGTAAATGTTTTATATTTACCTAGTCCAGTTATTATTGTTTGCATAAAAGTCTGTGTAGCTATGGATTCTATAATTATAAATAAAATACAACTTGAATGTACATAAAATATTCTTATAATATATAATCCAATATTGTATACATGATGAGATTATTATTGACTACCTGCCAGGACAAATATGTCGTGAGCTGGTGCACGTTCTGAAAATTTCAAAGCGAAAACCTTGTATACTTAATACATATTAAACAACTGTGTGGATATTTGAAAATGTTACAAAAATTAATACCCGGTACAGCGATCATGAAATGCATTTTTTCTGCAATTAACATGACATAAATCAATAAAATTCTACTCTGTTATAATCTAGAATACTGAGGTGAAGCTAGAAAAAATATGTGCATTATTAATTCGGAAGAAAGTGCTTGGCTCGAATTCACTAAATAAATTGGAAACCTTGTGGAAATATAATGGCCGAATTGAAATAGACGTGGCCAGTAGAATCAGTTAAATAACTGAACAAATTGTTTGTTATTTTGTACATAAATGTGACATTTTTTTTCTACTAGCAACCTTTAATAATTTTTTTTTATTATTATACTATTATTACTACCCGTTGAAATGTCTATTGTACTTCTCTCGACAATCGCATTGATTACATATTCCAAGCCATCTAAAGTAAACAAATAAAAGTTTAAGCTGTAAGAAAATTGTAAAAAATAGAATCACAATAATAGATGTATAAAAATCATTAGAATAAAATTACTCCATGCGAGTCAAGTGAGTTCTTAGTAGACTCAAGTTTTAAGAATTAGACTACAGAAAAATTTAATAAGGGGTGTTACATTTATTTAAAATGGACTCTATCACTTTGAGTTAAAATAATTTCCAGAGACCTATGACCCATCCCGCTTCAATAAACATTTCCCCAGTGTCCGGTACTCTAGTACTATACACCTCATGCATTCATAATCTGAACAGCTAATTGAAACCGAAATATTTAATTTAAAAAATAAGTTTAGGTTTACCTAAAAAATTAGACAAACATAACTAGACATATGTTATTGTATGTATTAGTATGTTAATTTTAAATATATCTTACTTCCTATGGAAGCGTTATTATAGTCAATAGCTAGCTGGATGTATTTGTCTGTAGTGAATAATTAAAAAAGTATGTTTAAAAACAGTAAAATTAAAAACAATTATTCTAAAAAAGTTAATCAGTATGACAATAAAAAAAATGTTTAATCACTTGTAATGGCAACCTCCTTTAAATATACTGTAATGAAAATGTTAAGAATTACATTTTTTCTAAGATTTTCAACTACAACCGTGTAGGTAAGTATGAAAATAAAATAATTACTCATTTTCAAAACAGCCAAATTATGAACCATATTAGCCAACACATTTCCAATGGCAAATAATATTAAAACACAGGAAATTTTCATCATTTTTTATCTGCAAAACAAGTTATTAAAACATACATGCAGTTTATATCAGTCTCAGACGCCTCATGTGTGGAGATGTGAGTGTTGCTAGAATATTACTAGAATAGAAAATTAGAAAAAATTTAGGGTAAGCAAAATAGGTAGGTTGCTATAAATAATAAATTATACTTACAACTTCTTAAAGCAATGATTTATTCGACTCCAACTTGTACCGACTGATTTGATGTGACTATCTTGTGTCTTGTCTATGGGCTTATATTTCGACAAAAACAGTAAAATAGAAATCTATGTATGTCGTAGCGTACCGTTTTTCATTTATTTACATAGCTGGTATATATTTTTAATTACACTGACTTAAATTTTAGACAGTCTAAATACACTGTCATTTCTTGGTTTTACATTAGGGAATTTAAACTCAAATTTGATTTATATGGCTTAAAATAGGCACAGATAATAATTTTTTAAGTAATTTAGTCGGTCGTTATGAAATTACAGCTGAGAATACTTGTTGTGAATTTTTGTGATAGTTAAAAAAAAGAAGAAGAATAATCTTCATATTCTCATTTTGGATATCGATTTAATTTTATTAAGTTTGATAGCTTAATGAAAATATAAAATTATAAAATAAGAGTTTAGAAGTTAGGACGGGAGGTGGACACTCTACCTCTCATCCTGCCCTAAACTTAAGACTTTAATAACTTGAAAAATAGTCATCCAAAACTGGTTATCGGACCGGTCAAAATTTTTAGTACATTATTGTTAATTAAATTGTATGCGGTACTATTTAAAATTCAACAATTTCTGTCGAAAAAACCAAGTTGGGAGGGAGGTGAAAAACAAAAAAAAATTAAATTATTAATTAACCTCAGTGAGATATAACTTTCCGTGGCCTACTTAAAATGTACTAAAAATTACTGTTATTTCACTATTTTATAGTGTTTAAAAATTGCCCTTGCCAAGCTATGTGCTTACACTATTCGCTAAATAGGTATTATTCAAAGTTTAATATTGATAAAAATGTATTTTATTATTATATAAGATATTGAGTGGTCCACGATAAAACAATCACCCTGTATTAACTAGGTATATATATATATACTAGGTTAATATATTATCTGGTGTTTCTTTTGAGTCTGGTATTTGAGCTGTTAAGTACCAGTTGACCGAGTAATGAGATCTGTTAATATGATACAACAAACAAAGATATTATGTTTAAACTCAATTCTCTTTGCTTAAGAGTGATTAAGACATAAGTACTTAACTCAAGTATTGGTTAACAACTATTTGTCCACGCATAACATTTTTTCGTGTAGTCAAACTACTCAAGTAAGGAAGTAACCGCAAGTTGTGTGTAAATAGTGTAAACATTTTTTTTTATGTATATAAATGACTAACGACTAGGAACATAGAAATTTGTGAAAAATTTAAAACACATTTTATAAAAATACTATGAAAAAAAGAAATACATTAATAATTAAACCCAACGCGAAATTGAGCGGTTCTGCGATTAAAACGATCACTCTGTACTGTGTGTTGGTTATGTTAAATCAAGAAAACAGATGGCGCTGCATATGCCGTTTGTGTTAAATATTGTCGGTTTAATATTATTATACAGTGTCCCATTTTAAAATACTAATAGATTTTTCTCCAAAAATACTAATCTAATCAAATAGTTGCTTATTAGAGATTTTTAGAGTACAAAAGGGGACGTTAAAAAAATTTAAAAAATTGGGTCCAAAATTCAAAATGGTCTACTTACGGTCAAAAACATGCTTCTTTGAAACGGAAACCATGTATTTTTTGTTAACCAAACAAATGTTCGTATCAAAACTAAAAACTTTTGTAGGAATAATTTTTCGGTAAAACCCATAATTTGAAATTAAGTATCAGTAATCGTGTCATGTGTGGTAACCTAGTGGTTTGTGAGGTAACTATGGTCTGTGTGTGTAACCATAGTACGTGTGGTAACTGTGGTATGTTTATAATTTCCAAACCTAACTTTACCATTACATTATCATTATCTTCATCGTAAAAGTTATCCTCTTTTTTGTGTACCACAAAGTCAAAAAACGTGGTTACCACACATACCAAATGTACTAAAAATACCATGGTTACCACACAAACCAAGGTTACCACACATACCAAGGTTACCATATATATCAAAATAAAATAACAAAACTAAAAATAGCTAATGATACTTAATTTCAAATTATGGGTTTTACCGAAAAATTATTCCTACAAAAGTTTTTAGTTTTGATACGAACATTTGTTTGGTTAACAAAAAATACATGTTTTTGACCGTAGGTCGGCCATTTTGAATTTTGAACCCTATTTTTTTTTTATAACGTCCCCCTTTGTACACTAAAAGTCTCTAATAAGCAACTTTTTGATTGGATTAGTATTTTTGGAGCATAATCGATTAGAATTTTAAAATGGGACACCCTTGTATTATATTCTGATACCGCGGCTTTCGATGTTGGGGGTGGCACGGCTGCTATAACAATATGTTATCATGTGCAGCAATCCGTTAATGGATGCACACATCCGTCGTATAAGTATTAATAATATGAATACTTTAACAGCTGTAGTCGTGGGTCGAGATACTCGTTACTCACCACAAAGGACTTGTTAGAGGCTGTTTGGCTGTTGGTCTTTTGAAAACGTTAAGTATTGTGTTAGCGACCGACTGACGTTTCACCGGTGGGGGGGGGGGGAGATATGAATTATGAGTAATGCGTCTTCGTGTATCCGGCCAGGGCTGTATACACATAACCGTATAAAAGGAGGCTATTATTTCTCTCTCCGTCTCCATCTCTTGTACACATTTAATCACGTTTAAGTCCTCGACTTTTTACCACCATCTCAATCCGACCACGAGTTCCTTACACGGTCTCTTGGTTAGGTGGTCTGTGGAATTTCCATGGTAATTATTATGGCGTGCAATATGTCCATCTCGCGTGTGCAACGGTGTAAATATAATATTAATTTAGCTTCGGTGTGGAATCTGAGAAGGTAATGTTTTTACAATGATGTGTTTTTATTTTTGTGTCTGGACCCACGATATCCCGTAAGCCGCTGAACCGATTTCTTCGTGTAGCAACTCTATAGATCAGAAATCATACCTAAAATGTATTCTAACAGGCCAAAAATTAAAAAAAAACACCCCTTCCCCATCAAAATCGAGAAAAACACCTAAAAAATGTACAAATTTTTCAACTTAAAATTACGATGCTCTATAACTTTTTTAAAAATAGTGGAAAATGTTCCAAATTTATATGAATTGTTTTTCGAACATAGTACTATCGATCAATATTAACGAAACAAAAAATTATCATAAACCCTTTCCCCTAGAAGGGATAGAATTTTTTTCTTTATTTCACTCTTTCGAGCAAAGTTTTAGAGATTTAGATCTGAAAATTACACCGAAGGTATATCTAAAATTGAACTATAACTTATACAATTTTTTTAATTTTTATTACTTGACAAAAATATTTACAATCTATACAATAATTTGCACAATAAGTAAATTGGTCAACCACAAAGAAAGAAGAGACAAAAAAAAACAGACAGTGAATGACATGAGTAGGGAATCTCACAGTTGAGATAACTAATAAGATAAAAGAATCTTTCTTTTAAGTGTGGTAAACCGGTTAGGCGCTTGTCAAATATTTGAGCTGTACTAGTTTCCTGAGGAGCGAGTACATCTAAAAAAATCAAAATAATCTCCTTTTTTGAAATATTATGTACAAAGGTCTGCGTCACATCAAAGCTGTATTATTTCTTAGTCGAACACAACGCTTTTATTAC